AGTTTCACGCCATTGACCAGGAAAATCGTCAGTGAGTTTTTCTGCTTCCGCACGGAGTTCAGGAAGAGGTCCTGAAGATTTTGCGCCTTCTCAGCCATTGCCCTGCTTTCTAATTCAAATTCTAATACCAAATGCCACGGAATGCCGAGCCAATGTCAAGACACATTTGCTCCGCAATAGCAAGTTTACACCAGAAGTTGCCGCCCAATTGGCCAATGTCGATATCAACACGGCGTTTTTTCAGCAACATCAAAAAATGCTTCTCTCAGTTGCGGTGCTATCATCCCGGGATGCCCATTTCCTATAGGCGAATCGTTTAACATTATCACCGGCATAACAAGTGTCGTCGCGGCAGTGATAAATGCTTCACGGGCCTGTTTGGCTTCTTCGATCGAGAAGCCGCGCTCTTCCACAACCAAACCCAATTTTGCCGCAACATCCATGACAGTTGTACGCGTTACGCCGCGCAGAATTCCGTGTTCTGCGGGCCGGGTCAACAATGTGCCGTCTTTTGTGACAATCCAGAAATTCGTGGCAGCACCTTCCTTGATCATGCCATCGCCATCGACGAAAACGGCTTCGGTGGCACCTCGTAGTTTGGCTTCTTGTTTTGCGAGAACATTCGGCAACAAGCCGACTGACTTGATATCAACCCGTTCCCAACGGTTTTCCGGTACCGTGATAACCGCAATTCCCTTTTCGGCTCTCGCTTCACCGGCATCCCTGTTGATCGACTTGGCCGTCACGACCACAGATGGGCTGACGGTATCTGCGGGAAAAAAGTGGTCACGTTTTGCCACGCCACGAGTAATCTGAAGATAGTACATGCCATTATAGACGCGGTTTCTGCGGACAGTTTCCTTGATAATGTGGGTTAGCGCCTTGCGCGTCATTGGCATGCGAATTTGCAGTTCGCGCAACGAACGTTCCAGCCTGTCGAGATGCCTGGTCAGGTCAATGATGTAGCCGTAACGAACTTCGCAAACTTCATAAACACCATCAGCAAACTGATAGCCGCGATCTTCAATATGAACTGCTGCTTCTGCGTGTCGGACATAGCGGCCATTGACATAGGCAATTCGGGACATGTTTTTCTCCGGCGGTTCAGACGCCAAGTGATTTCAGTTTGCGATGCAGTGCCGAGCGTTCCATACCGACGAAATCAGAGGTTTTCGAAATATTGCCTCCGAAGCGATTGATCTGCGCCAGCAGGTATTCTTTCTCAAACATTTCTCGGGCCTCACGCAGCGGCAGCGACATGATGTGCTGATCAGACTGCGTTGGAACTCTCGGCAGCGAGTCACCAACCTCTGCGGGCAGCAAATTCGCCGTTATCTCACTGTCTGTACCGTCATCACGCGCCAGAATGAGCAGACGTTCAACATTGTTTCTCAA